ATTATATTATATTATATTATATTATATTATATTATATTATATTATATTATATTATATTATATTATATTATATTATATTATATTATATTATATTATATTATATTATATTATATTATATTATATTATATTATATTATATTATATTATATTATATTATATTATATTATATTATATTATATTATATTATATTATATTATATTATATTATATTATATTATATTATATTATATTATATTATATTATATTATATTATATTATATTATATTATATTATAATATATTATTAGTGATGAAGTTTTGCTGTCATCAACAGTGAAGCCACACATAGACCCTGTGGCGTTATGGGCATTTCCATAGAAACAAATCATTTCTGAGTATTTGAACAGCTCTGAGTTGAATCAGAATTGCCATCTCATAATTACAATAAATCTGGAATGGTGTGAGTTTGCCAGCACTGTTGTGGTCAACTTATTTAACTTTCCTCAGATGCCAAAACTAAAAAACAGGAAGCGAGCATCTCTGCAACTGTACAAAGCTCATGTATAATTAAGAAGACAAGCACTGCTTAGCTATGATTATGGTTGTCAGCTGCTAAACATTTAAGTTTGACAGTCTTTAAGAACTAAAGGTCTTTCTTGAATAATGCTGCCATATAACACAATTCAGGACTCCTATGACACCATCCCAAGAGGAATTAAAGCTGTTCTGAATGCAAATAGGAATCTGATATCTTTATATTGTCAAGTCTTTCTCTTATTTAATGACTGCAATCTGCAGAGAGAAGGAAGATGGTGTTCTCTGCTGTAGAGAGCAGATTCATCTCCTGTGAAGAATGAATTAAGGGAATATTTTGTTATCAGGTAGTTAGCAGATGCAGATTTCCAGAGTGAGAGATTTTAATCTGCCGTTTCTGTTTCAAATTGTCACCACTTCTTTTATCTTCTCTAATTTTGACTGTTTTCATAATCTCGCTCTGTATCTCTTTGTTTCTCTAGCTCTTCTCCCTGTCCATTTATCAATCTCTCAGGTGACTGCACGCGCTTCCGAGTAAACACACAAAAACTAATTGAATTACCCTATAGGCCCAGAAATGGAGGGCATAGCTAATTAGTTTCCACAGCAACAGACAAACCTTCCCGTGCCGCTTGTTTTGTTGACTGTGGTTCTGTAAACAGCACGCACTCCCTCACCTAACAAGGGAACTCCTTGCGTGCCTGTCATGAGCTGCGCTTCAGATTGACTCGCATTAATGACTGAGCCCAAGCTCAAAGCACTGACAACCTCTGACTGCCTCATACTTTCCATAACACGGCCCATAGGGACGCGTTCAGTCGTGCGTTAAATCGACTCATCGGCAGGCCCACATGGAGTCTGTGCATGCAGAACTTCAGCGAGCCTCATTCACAAAGTTCAGCGCAAGCTTTTTTTGTGTTTTTGTTCTACATTCGTATTCCATATTTTGGTTATTTTGGTTAAACGAAAACTGAAATTAAAACCATAAAAACCTTTTAGTTTGAAATAAAAAAATAAATAAAATATATTAAAAAATAACATTAATATAAAACTATATATATTGTGTGTGTGTGTGTGTGTGTGTGTGTGTATATATATATAAAACTGATTAAAAAAGTAGTATCTTAACGACATTAACATAACACTATTTTGGGATGTTTTCAGGTTTTCAGAGTCTAGTACTTAAAGGCATAGTTCACCCAAAAATGACAATTGTGTTTTTGTTCTACATTCGTATTCCATATTTTGGTTATTTTGGTTAAACGAAAACTGAAATTAAAACCATAAAAACCTTTTAGTTTGAAATAAAAAAATAAATAAAATATATAAAAAAATAACATTAATATAAAACTATATATATTGTGTGTGTGTGTGTGTGTGTGTATATATATATAAAACTGATTAAAAAAGTAGTATCTTAACGACATTAACATAACACTATTTTGGGATGTTTTCAGCTACTAATAATCTAGTACTTAAAGGCATAGTTCACCCAAAAATGACAATTCTGTCATCATTTTCTCACCCTCAAGTTGTTCCAAACCTGCATGAGTTTCATTCTTGAACACAAAAGAATATTAAGGAGGGTGTGTAACCAGACAGTTGACGGTAGCCATTGACTGCCGTAGTATGGAAATAAATACTAGTGCAAAGTGTGCTTTCGCACACAAGGATTCTTTCTTGGTAATGGAGATTCTAGTGTACACATATAAATACAACAAGATGACATAAAATTTTAATATTTAAAAAAAAATGAATGTATGAAGATAGTTTGGTTAAGTCGGAAGCAGTCAGGTTAAGTGAGAAAATATTTTGTACATATTTACAATATTATGAATAATAATACATAAGAGTGAATTTACAGGATATTGCTCTAAACAGTGGAAGTTGCTCCGAGGGGGTCTTGGGAGTCATTTGTCAGTTTAATAAGGAGATGTGGGCCTGTGGGAAGAAGAAGCTGTTCCTGTGCCTGCATGTTCTAGTGTCTAGTGTTCTGAGTTACCGGCCAGACGGCAACAGTTCAAGTAGGTTGTGGCCAGGGTGAGCCGGATCTGTGATGTTTTTACCTGCCCTCTTCCTCAGTGGAAGGACCTGTAGTCCTGGAGGCTGGGCAGGGGGCACCAGAAATCCTCTCTGCAGTCTGGACTGTTGGCTGTAGCCTCCTGATGTCTGATTTGGGAGCTAAACCAAACCAGACAGTTACAGATGAACACACGACAGCCGAGTAGAATTGTGTCAGCAGGTTGAACTTCCTCAGCTGGCGTTTCTGTTGTGAAAAAGGCCTAGCAGAGGTTGTACTTCCTTCGCCACATTTTGAACACATTTTACCAAATTGAAATCTATTCCACAGTTGTCTGCAGGCTTTACACTACAATCAGTTTACACATTTTAGGAAAAGTTGTCTGGTTTTAACTAGCCCTCTTCACAAGGTTTGTTAGCTAAGCTATACTTTAAAGGAATAGTTCACCCAAAATGAAAATTCTGTCATTAATTACCTACCCTCATGTCGTTCCAAACCCATAAGACCTTTGTTCATCTTCGGAACATAAATTAAGATATTTTTGATAGAATCTGAGAGCTCTCTGACCCTCCCATAGACAGCAAGGGTACTACCACGATCAACGTCCAGAAACATAGCAAGGAGATCGGTAAAATAATTTTTTTTTTTTTTTGCGCACAAAAAGTATTCTCGTAGCTTCGTAATATTACGGTTGAAGCCTTGATGTTACATGGATTATTTTACCGATCTCCTTGCTACGTTTCTGGACGTTGATCGTGGTTGTACCCTTGCTGTCTATGGGAGGGTCAGAGAGCTCTCAGATTCCATCAAAAATATCTTAATTTGTGTTCCGAAGATGAACAAAGGTCTTATGGGTTTGGAACGACATGAGGGTGAGTAATTATTGACAAAATTTTCATTTTGGGTGAACTAACCCTTTAAGCTTTCGCCAGTGTTATTTTAGTATGACAGATATTTTTATAGTATTTTGATTTTAAAGTTTTAGTAATTTTGTTGTGTTTTTGTCATTTTTTTAGTATATCAGGGTAAACAAAATGAAACTGAGAATTTTTTTTATATATATATATTTATTTATTTTTTCTGTCTTTGAACATAAATTTGAAGTATCTGAATTGTTATGCATTTAGTTTTAATTAACGGTCACACTTTATTTTAAGGTCCAATTCTCGCTATTAACAAACCATTAACTATGACTTTTGCCTCAATAAACTCCTAATTTGCGTAATAGTTAATAGTTAGTTAATTAATTAATTAATTAATAGTTAGTACGGTAGTTGTTAAGTTTAGGGATGAAGAATATGGTCCTGCAGAATATGTGCTCTATAAGTACTAATAAACAGCCAATATGTTAATAAAAGGCATGCTAATAAGCAACTATAGTGAGAATGGGTCCCTATACTAAAGTGTTACCTAATTAACTATAATAACCCTGGCTTTCACCATCTATTTTGTGGGAGACGTTTCTATTGTCCAATCTCACTGCACCATCCTCACCAGCACTGAGTAGAATATATATTTATCAAAACTGCTTAGCTAACTAGGTCAGCTAAACAAACTCTAGCCTTCAGCTACGAATCTGAGACGTTGTTGTCTCTAGCACCACCTGCTGATGAATTCATAGAACAGTACAGCAACATTTCTCACTAGTATTTATATGCCACTCGAGTTTTAAATAGCGCTGAAACTCAGAGGTTCAGAGGCCTCCGATTAGATGAGATGTTGTTGAACAGGATTAGCATCACAATGTCCTTCTGCTTTCAATGAGATCACCTGAAATGAGCTTCTAATCCTGACTCTCCGTGGAAGTGTGTGTGGGTCTGTGTTTGTGTGCTCTTCTGCTCGGATCATTAGTGCTGTGTGTGGGAGTGCATGTATAAGGGAGAGGGCATATTTACTCATCTGAGTAGTTTCTCTATAGGCCTATTTCTTCAGCTTTGAAGCCCTTTTGACTTTTACTAAAGGAGCTTCCTTAATACTCTTTTCACTGGTTTCAGTATTTCAGTTGACTACTAGCAAATCAGATTTCGTAATTATTGACAAAATTTTCATTTTGGGTGAACTAACCCTTTAAGCTTTCGCCAGTGTTATTTTAGTATGACAGATATTTTTATAGTATTTTGATTTTAAAGTTTTAGTAATTTTGTTGTGTTTTTGTCATTTTTTTAGTATATCAGGGTAAACAAAATGAAACTGAGAATTTTTTTTATATATATATATTTATTTATTTTTTCTGTCTTTGAACATAAATTTGAAGTATCTGAATTGTTATGCATTTAGTTTTAATTAACGGTCACACTTTATTTTAAGGTCCAATTCTCGCTATTAACAAATTTCGGCAGTGTTATTTTAGTATGACAGATATTTTTATAGTATTTTGATTTTAAAGTTTTAGTAATTTTGTTGTGTTTTTGTCATTTTTTAGTATATCAGGGTAAACAAAATGAAACTGAGAATTTTTTTATATATATATATATATATCTTTGAACATAAATTTGAAGTATCTGAATTGTTATGCATTTAATTTTAATTAACGGTCACACTTTAAGGTCCAATTCTCGCTATTAACAAACCATTAACTATGACTTTTGCCTCAATAAACTCCTAATTTGCGTAATAGTTAATAGTTAGTTAATTAATTAATTAATTAATAGTTAGTACGGTAGTTGTTAAGTTTAGGGATGAAGAATATGGTCCTGCAGAATATGTGCTCTATAAGTACTAATAAACAGCCAATATGTTAATAAAAGGCATGCTAATAAGCAACTATAGTGAGAATGGGTCCCTATACTAAAGTGTTACCTAATTAACTATAATAACCCTATCACAATTTCCACAAAAATAATAAGCAGCAACTGTTTTCAACACTGATGATAATAATAAGAAATGTTTCATGATTCAGCCAATCATGATTTCTGAAGGATCATGTGGCACTTAATACTGGAGCATTGATGCTGAAAATTCAGCTTTTCATCACAGGAATAAATTTCATTTAAAAATATTTTCTATTAAAAAGCAGCTATTTTAAATTGTAATAATACTTCACAATATTATTGTATTTTACTGTATTGATTAACAAATAAATGCAGCCATTTAAAAAATCTTACTAACCCCTGAACTTTTAAACAGTAATATGTACTATAGAAATAATTTCCACAAAACAAATTAAATATGTTCATTTGACAATTTCTTAAGATTATGGTAGTTTTATAACAGTTCCTATTTTTGTGATGAAATAAGCAATAAAAAACAATCAACTCTATAGCGACATAAGTTTTCTTGACACTTTTAATGTGATCTTCACTTAACAAAAAGCTCTTAGTTTTAAAAACAATCAAACACCCAGGGACACAAAAGTGCCTGTAGTTGTAAAAACAGCACTCTATCTCTTCATCGCTCTCTGGTTTAATCTCCGTCTCTCTCTTTACGACCCTCCTCCCTCTCTCGATTTTCCTCGTACTCTCACCTCCCTCCTCTGTCTTTCTGTATATCCCTCCCTCTCTCCCTGATCTCCTCCCTCACCCTTCACAGTTTCCACAAAAATAATAAGCAGCAACTGTTTTCAACACTGATGATAATAATAAGAAATGTTTCATGATTCAGCCAATCATGATTTCTGAAGGATCATGTGGCACTTAATACTGGAGCAATGATGCTGAAAATTCAGCTTTTCATCACAGGAATACATTTCATTTAAAAATATTTTCTATTAAAAAGCATTTTTATTTTAAATTGTAATAATACTTCACAATATTATTGTATTTTACTGTATTGATTAACAAATAAATGCAGCCATTTAAAAA